CTAGTTTTAAGCACTCTGTTTTATCCCTATTTATCTCATTTCAATGAACATTCCTTTGTTGTCTGCATTGTTTACTGTCTGTTTATACTGCTTTTTCTGTATTGTTTGCACTATTTGTTGACGTTAATACTGCTATTTTGTTATATTACACAGCCTTATGCTGGCTTACTGTTTGCACATTGAGAGCCGATGTACCAGAGTCGAATTCCTCGTGTGTCCATCACACCTGGCCAATAAAGCTGATTCTGATTCTGATTCTTAATTTTGTAACACATCATCATTCATCATTTTACAAAGTAGTTTGAACTACCTTTTCTAAATAGCTTGAGTTAACCAGACTAGATTTCTCCCTAGAGTAGCTTTGCTGTAGTTCGACTTCTTCCAGTGTGAAGTAATTGGTAGTTTGCAAACCTATGCTTCCAAAGTAGCTTCCCCAACACTGCTGATACTTTACCATACAAAACAGAGAAAAGTGGCTGTCAAGTGGTCTTGTCCAGGATGAAACGGACCCCCGCATCCCTCCGACCCCCACCCTTGTTTGATGAGAAAATGATGAATCATATGCTATGACCTTCACAATCACCAAATCTCAACCCAGCTGAACACCCACAAGAAGATTTGGACTGATGCTCTCCACCATCATCAAAAACCAAATGAGGGAATATCTTTTGGAAGAATGGTGTGCATAAGGGGGAGTGTGGCGCAAGAGATAGAGCTGGTCCAGTGGTTTGGTTCCTGACTTCTCCAGTCTACATGTCGTAATTTCATAGATTAAGATATGGAACCCCAAGTTGCTCCCAGTGATATCACTGGTGTGTGAGTGCTTGGGAGTGCAAATGGATGAATGGGCAAATAGTGTGAAAGCACGTTGAGTGTGCTGCATTGCATAAAAAAAGTATAAGACCATTTACCATTCTCACCAGTAGAGTTCAGAGACTTGTAGAATGAATGCCAAAGAACACTGAAGCTGTTCAGGTGCCATGTGAAGGCCCATCACTTCTTCTTCTTTTGTTGTTTAATGGTGGTTGGCAAACAGCTTTAGGTGCATTACCACCACCTTCTAGACTGCGGTGTGGATCAGAACAGCCTACTACTACTACTACTACTACTATATTAAAATAACCTCACTGAACTGTATTTTTAAATAACTCCCTCTCCTGCCTGAACCTGGGGCAACTCATAACATGTTCCACAGTTTTCTGTACCCTACACAACTCGCATTCCCCTGTATTAAACTTCTTCGTCAACTTCAATGTACTTTTCAAACCACTATGCCCAAATCTCAGTCTTGATGTCAAATCTTCTTCCTTCCTATTCTTAGTACTTCCTCTCATTGCTCCTTAGCCTTACTATAACTTACTGCCATGCATACATCTCTTTTTTTAAGTGCAGCTTTTGCAAATTCATATGCTAGTTCATTACCCTCCACCCCAATATGTGCAAGAATCCAAATTAGCCTAATATCTATTCCGGCCCTCTGACATCCTAATATCATACAAACTATTTCAAGAATTATGTCCTGCTTCGAGTCTGACTGGATGTATCGGATACTCAGTAAAGAACTGCTGGAATCTGATCCAGTTAGGACTTTTAATGGTTTATGTTCTTCTACCCATTCTAATGCTAGTACAATAGCTAGTAATTCTCCTGTGTATACTGAGAGATTAACACTCATCACTTTATGTTGGGTTTTCCTTTAATAGAATTTCCTTTGTGTTCTCACCCCTCGATACAAATATGTTAATGACTGTGGAGGGCGACATTGTATCCGCGGTATACAGTATGTGTAAACCTCCATTAGATAGGCCTACATATGCAAACCTCCAGCGAGGTAGGAACCAATGATGTGACACATTGACAAGTCAGAGCCTATGGCTCGGACACAACGGAAGTTTAGAGACGGTTGCCCTGGATGAAAACCTACAGCATTGTATCAATCTCGAAACCGTTCTCTAACCCCTTAATTAACCCAGGCTTCCCTTTCCCTTACTATGGCGTCAGGCTCCAATATAGATATTGAGGGTGCGACCCAGCATCTCCGGGACATCCTTAAGTTAGACCGTCCCGGGAACAGCACCGGTAAGTTGGGGCGGGAATGAAAAGCGGCTGCAAGTGTAGGCCGCAGAAGCTAATGGAATGCTAGATAGCTAGCTACAGGGATACTTAGCTAACGAGAGTTGCTGTAGCTTACTGCTGTCTGGAGTAAAGTTTGCTTAATAGCAGTTTCACTACTAGCCTTCAGACGGTACCACGAAAAGCACAATTTGAATGTCAGCACATTTACATATGTATTTTCACTTTAATATCTGTGGGCGTTCAGGTTCGTAGTAATGGTAGAGCGTCAAATATGTCAGAAAGGTATCTAACGTTAGTATTTTGTCGTCACAAGTATTAGCTAGCTACCCTAAGCTGGCTAATGTCTCAGTCTATTTACTGGTGCAGAGAAGCTGCGTACCTTGCTGGCAGGCTATAAAAAGTAGAAACAGTTTTCTTTATAGGACTGTATATCTGCAGCATCTGCTCATTTGTGCCTCCGGTGCCAAACATTTAGGTATGCTTTTATATAGATGGCACTTAGCCAGGATTATTTTACTGCTATCAAAAGTTAGCTTGAGACTTAAACTGCGTATGACGTTTGGTATTCTTGGCTAATCTGGATACACTTATTTTAAGCTTTGTTTGTGGCATCTTCAGAATAGTACCCAATCATTTAGAAACACAAACCGTTCATTAGTATTTTAACAAAGACTCCATCGGCTTTCTGACAGTCGGAATCAAAAAAACGTTAGGTTCGGGGTGCTGTAAACAGTATGTCCCGTTTCTTATTGCAGAATTTCTTGTTTGATAAAACTAACCTAAATCATATGGTGAACACAATGCAGCCTATAACTGTTCCTTTTCTGAAGCAGTCTAAAAGAGCATTCGGTGGATTAGTGGACACATTTAATACACAGAAAAAAGTAACGTTTTCTCATTAGATGAATAAAGTTGCTGGCAACTTTTTTCAAGCATTATGTAAAATTGAACCAATATTAAACCTTACCCATATCTAAAGTTGTTTTTGAGATCCTTGGACAGGATTAACTTTTGAGGTAGTTAATAAAGTATTGGCTCCACTCCTGAATTCATTGTTCTGATTTGAGCAGGTTTTCTGAATGAGGTGGTTCTTTTGGAAAATCATGTGAACATCTTCACCTTGTCTTTTTGTATTTTGTTCCACCTTTAGTTTTCCTGATCTGATATACAAAAATGTGTGTGTAGGAAAAAGTATTTCTTGACTATTGCTTCAGTAAGAAATGGACTGATTAGTGTCTGCACATGTTAATGGTGTGGTTAACATCATTCTTACTGTAAAAGTGTATAAAGACCGATGGTGGCAAATATGAATTTAGATTTCTCAAACCTGTCTATTTGTAAATAAATATTTCTATTTATTTGTGTTTAACTTTGTAAACATTTGTTTGTAAAATACAGTAAAATATATCTTAATTACTGTGTTTATGATGTTATAACAAAAGTGATCATCACTGGTTCCCCTCAGCCTGTTTGAAGGCTGTGGAGGCACATAGCCTGTTAAATATGCCTCACTCACTTCATTTACATCTACTGGTTTAGACGGGATCAAATAGTCATAAAAAATAGACACAATGTGTATCACACAGTGATTTGTAATGAAGGATTGTCTTTGTGAAACCTGACCTTTTGAGGAAATTGTAAATGACTTGTGATTGACAGCAGCACACAGTGATGTCAGACTGACTTTTCCTGCTTCCTGTAATGCAGATAACTTGATTGAGTGGTACATCTACAGCGCCTTTGCTATTTATCAAATAACATGAGCTGCTTTCATGTATTTTGTTTGCCTATGTGTAATTATTGTGTCTGAATTTCGATTAAGATTTAGCTATCTCAAATACTGGCTGGAGTGTAGCAGCCTTTACTACCTGCTGTCCAGTTGCACCATGCAATTTGCACCCTGTATAAAACCGAACCAAATGGGACTTTATACAATTTGAACATTGAGTGCTGAATGAAAAAAATAGAAGTGGGAATTTATGGTAATCTCATGATTCAGTTCAGTTTTCGGTGTCACAGTTTGATTCAGAGTTGATTTTTGATTTAAACAGTTCTCGATTCCGTAAAAAGAAAGGGGATTTATTATATTTTAGCTTTTCCTTTAAGGTAATGTGTGTGAACTGTATTAACTTGGGAGCATGTTTCACTCTTCACTTTGTATAAATGGGGTTAGTGTTAACCCCACTCCACTCAGTAGAGTAGGTACTTTATTGATCCCACAGTGGGGAAATTTCTCAGCTAACCTAGTTGATAGGTGATGGAGTACGATCTATTTACAAAATACTTCACCATTGTCTTGCAAGCTAATTATAAGATGAAATACAAATTGCACCCAAATTCCTGCTTTTTTGAAGGTGAACTACCAGAGTACTCTATTACAGAGATATCCAACGTGTAACTCACAAGCTACTAGTAGCTTGCTCACCTGAGGGTTGTATGGACAACCCATTTACAAACATTAAACAAAACATCATTGCTTAGTAAACCTGCTCCAACTCTAATGAAATTGCATACATAGTTGTCCTCCGACACCAAATGATTGTTTACCAGTCATCTGTCAATCAAATGAGTTTTGCTGTTGTAGTGTTAGTGACTCTTTGGCATAATATAATGTTGTATTAAATGTTAAAAGCCTTTATATGAACAGTTAAATTTAATAGCTTCAAGAAACAGACACTTTGTTTAATGAGTTGAGCTGTGGCCTGCAACATTAACTTTTAAGCCTTTTTTTTTTTTTTTTTTATTGTGAAATTAAGTAATTTTATTATTAGCGATTCCTGTTTGTAACATTGCATGCACTAATTAATGAGTTTAGTGAATGAGTTTGATCCAGAAGAAAGCTTAAAAGTGCAATTTCTCAATGGTTTTATGGATGTTTATTTGCAATGAACTTAGAATTTAAAATGGCTATCCTCTGTTCAGATTTGACTGAATTATGACAGATGTTTGACATGTGGCATTTGGACACTAAAGTCCCCTGCATTCAATTGCTTTCCACAGATGCGCAATATAGTGACAGCCAGAGAAAGCTACCTTTTAATGGTGAGCTGAACGGCTTATTAGGAACTGCTGGCCTTCTAGGGAGCACTGATCAGGCCACCATGTCAGAATCTACCAGACCCATCTCCACAGACATCAGCAGCACTCAGGAGAGTCAGATAATGTGAGTCGCTCCTTCGAGTTAGTCACTTAACCACTTTAGCAGAATAATATTTATGGGCTCTTTGAGTAAGGAAAGTAAATGCATTTATGTACTTAAATCCATGTGCTGCAATTACAGCTGCCTTTCTGGTGATGATGGGTCCACTTGTATCCCCATCACCTCTAACAATGTTGAGATCGTGGCAAGTCAAGACTCCAGCATCAACAGCAAGGCTCGAGGCAGTAACAAGGTAAGAATTTAAATCATCCAAACAGCGCAGTTTGATGACCTGCAACACAAACAAGGTAAGATTGCCATGCTGCTGTGTTCCTGAAAAGCTTTTGTTTCTGTTGTTTATATTAATGATAAGCTTGCTTTCTTTCATTGACAATCTGTTGCACTTTTTAAAGATAAAGATCCCTCCATGAGTTTTCAGATTATGAACATCTGAATGTTCTGATGAGATGCTAATGGGAGATGTATAAATTAATTTTTTTAGAGCAAAAAGATCAAATATTTCTCCATCATTGTGTTAATGTTTTTCATTTTGACTAGGTTGGATTTGGCTCTTGTGGAAATGTCTCATGGATACCAAAATCACTTTCATTTTCAATAGTGAATTTGTTTTTTATATAGGTGAAGATTCAACCTGTTGCCAAGTATGACTGGGAACACAAGTATTATTATGGCAGACTGATAGCTGTGTCCAACTCCTTCCTGGCCTATGCCATCAGAGGTGAGAGTGTTAGTCATTATTGACTGATTACTTCTACCATTACGTGACACAGACATCACACAGCACTGGGGATGCTTTGAATCAACATGAGCTACTGCCACAGACTATTGGGGTATAAATACATTGGTGTGCGGAACCTTGTATTTCATGTATTTACAGTGAGTACCCTTATTAAAGGACCACAGGGTAACAAAAGTTTCTCACTGTATTCTCTCATCTTTCTTGTTAAATTGACAATTGTCATAATGTGTTCAGGTTGTTTCTGTGGTTTATTTTCATTGAGGGGTGTGATATTCCACTTATTTTTCTATTTTAAAATAAACACCTCTGCCTGCAGGAACCAACAACCATGCTATGATTCGTGTCCTGAGTCTAAGTTCTGCTGAACGCTCATTGCTAAAGGGATTCACTGGGGCCATCACAGATCTGGCGTTTGCTCACCTCGACTCCAACCTGTTGGGTTGTGTAGATGAAGCTGGCAATCTGATGGTCTGGCAGCTTACCTGCACTGCAAACAAGATACTGTATCCTGACATGTTAGAGAAACTGGAGTGTGTGAGAGAATGTGTGTGTGTGTGTGTGTGTGTATGTGTGTGTGTAGTCTGGATATTGCTACTTGTCTTTGAACTGTCTGAAATAAATACTAAAGTACCAGTCACAGCGGTCAGAGCTGCCTTGTGATTTTACACAAACCTCTGATTTTTCACCCCCTGGTTTTGTCAAAGTAATGATAGATACAGATCCTTCACAAACGTCTCTCCTTTTCTTTTCCTTAACTCATGCTCTCTACAGAGATCAGATAGTGGTTCATATCAGACGACCAGACAACACTCCACTGAACTCCCATCGTCGTCTCATCTGGTGCCCATTCATCTTGGATGACAGTGACGAGAACCAGGATGACACCAGCCAGACTTTGGCCCTTTTACATGAAGACAGGGTATCAGCGTTTCACACATAATTGTTTATCACACCTGGATGGAAATACTGCAGAAACTGCAGACAAAAGATTTGATTTGATTTGATTTATTCTTTCAAGCATGTAAAAGCAGTTGATATGACAACACACATAATTTTACACATAATCCAATATCAATTTGCTTATACCTTGTACATGCTTGAATGGAGTAGGAAGAAGTCAGACTTATCCAGTCCTACCCCATGACATCATCTTACCATCATTGGTTTGCAAGCAGTAAATGATTCACTTCTACCCACACACATATTATACTAAAAAAAGAATATAACAGTGTTAACATTCTTACATCACACAAGTAATATACTAAAGAATTATTAGAAAATGTACACCACACCCACAATTGTCCATGTAATTAATCATTAAACCTGTTCTTGCATATATCTTGATTGACACATACCTTTATATTTATGTTTAAACTCATCAATTCTATTACTATTTTTTATGTCTACACTTAAATTATTCCATAGTTTTACCCCAC